GGATGGTGATGATAAAGGCAGAAGTTTTATGTGGGTGAATTTTTAGACTGGTTGCTGAGTGAAAGACTGCCTATATCTCATAAAGATGTTTACCAAAAGGTTAACAGCAGTGTAGAAGATGCTGTTAATAATCAAGTGGGCAAAAATGACCTACTTAAGATATCAGGCAGCCTCAAGGCCGACCCCAGCATTTTGTGCAGTGGGTTCATGTACTAAGCGGTGCCATGATGGAAGAGATGAGATGATGCACAGGGTAGACACGGACCTCCACGTCCTCAGTCAGACCCAGCACTGCCAATGCTTGGTGACTAATATGTCGCCAATGCAAACAACCCTGGCCCATGATAAAGTACCTTCTCTCTGGGATCACATACCTGACTGCTACTAGTAAGGAGATTATATTTGACCCTTTTGGTCACAGAGGGGACATCTACTTGAGATGGTATCTAAAATGAACACTTTGGATTTTGGTTCTCTTTTCCTAATCATCAGGTTCTGCCAGTACCTTCAAGGAAAATTACTGAATGTCTTCTACATCATCGTGATTTTGTGTATAATAATGTTTTAGACTGCAGAACTCGGTTCATAGAGACAGATTAAGATAATGGATGCTATGGGATCTGCCAGTCTTAGGATGGTCTCTCATTCGCCAAAAAAAATTGGCTTTATAAATTAATAACCTACCCTGGCAACTGAGAAACATCACTTGGGCAAGGCTGAATGCTGTCTTGTAGGATGAAGTGTATGCTCTGAACTAGTGAGTAATCATTAAATGATACTATTTTTTCTCACTGCCAGAATATACAGTTCCTGGAATCAAGCAATGAATCCATAGGGATGAATTTTGCAATCATAGCCACTAAACCACTTCAAAAAACTTTGTTTCCTTTCTCTATAATTGTAGCTCTGCTAGGTTAAAGGCTTAATAGTCAAGAGATGGAACAATTTACTTGGAAGGTGAAACAACCACATGTCCATTTGGGGCTCTCCTGGTGTAATTTAGGTGACTGATCCTGATATAAAAATTGGGCTGTGGCTATACAATAAGGGTAGGAAAAAAATGTACATGGACACTAGAGAAATCTTCTCACACTACTGCATCCATTTGAAAAATTAATCAAAGCGAAGCCCTATGTATTAAGCATATATAAAGATCTGATTTCTAGTATTGCAAGAAAGTCAGTTTTAGTTACTTCACTGGAAAAAGAATATTAATTACCTTAGGGGCTGATTAAAGAAATGTATAGGTGATAGACAGTGGAGAAAATAAATCATAAATATTGGTGTGACCTTCTCATCAGGCGCAGAAACAAATACTGTGACCTCTACCTGTTTCTTACCTGTCTCATATATGGACAAACATATTTCACATATTTTATCTTATATTGCTTCTCGTTCCTCTCCCTATCCTCCACTGTTGAGTACAGCATGTGTTAATTGCGGGTAACTTTATAAAGTAGTCCACTGGCCAGAGAAAGACTACTGAGATGAGAATGCAAAAGAACCAGAGGGTGACTCAATATAACCGAGAGATCTAGGGCTAATGCAGTCAATGATGAAATTTTCAGTTGTCTCCCCTGGGGAAAGATGAGTGGATTTGGGATATATGAATGAGAATTGCACTGTTAGGAGAAATTTAAAAAAAAATTTTCTTTTAAAGTATAGGTAGGAGAGAATGGTGTGTGAGTGGGTTTGGGTAGCTAAGGAATGCAGCGGAACTTTGCTGCTCATAAATAGCTAGTACCTGAACATCTGCTTCAAGTGAGTCAAAGGGGAGAAGGTATTCCCCATTTCTGCTGCATGATAGGGACCGAAGCTCAGACATTCTGATGTTTCTGTCTTGAACTTGAAGCTTGAGAAAGTGGGCAAAAACCCAACAACAGTTTGGGGTTAATGGTGGAAGTGGTGGCTGTCAAAGTGAGAATCCAAGTGACATGGCAGCATATGCCCATGAACTTTAAAATTATGACAAGAAGTATCTGCAAATATGGTACAATTACTTCATAATGGCCCACATAAAAGGGATAACTTTCATGGTTTCCTCATGTTGCAATATGATTTCACATACATTTGAAGGGGATTTTCCTAATATTTACCTTGAAACTTTACTGTGTTAAAAAGATAGGTAACTCCTCTTGCCTTTGCTAAGAAACAAATTATAACACATACATTCTTCCTTAGTCATATTCTAACTCTATATTCTTCAGATTTGCCCCAGCTTTCTTTTCTGTCTTCCCTCCCCCCCTCCTCTCCCACCTCCATATCTAGGGACACCGCCCGACTTAACACCATTCAATTGCAGAATGATTTTGGTGCTGCCCTATACCACAGGCACCCTGCTCCACAGCTGCCAGGATAGTTGTTCCCGTGCTTACAATGCCTCCGTTTAATGCCGCAATTGTCAACACTGGAGTCCTACCCAGAGGACTATGTCTTGCTGTAGAACACCAACCTGACACTGTACCAGGAGTAGCAGCAGGAATTAGCTCTAAGCTTCCATCCCAGGAAACTACGGAGAGTAACTCTTACAACAATTAAAGTGTTTAAAAGAACTCCCATTTTAAGATGTTTTAGGAGATTCACCAGTGGAAACACCTGCTTTACAGTAGGTTTTGGTATAATCAGATTGAATTTCATAGTGATCAGTTGCAAATCCTCTGAAATTTTTATTTGAAAGGAGACTGCTTTCAGAGGCAGGGATGAAACAAAGCCTGGCTTGTCTTAGCCCTGAAATGGTCTTGATGAAGTGAAATTACAATTTCTAGCTGTCCTATTTTAGCACTGAAACTCCATAAAACAGCAGAAACCTTGCAAGTAAATTCTATGGTTTCTAATTAGCAGTAATGAAAAATTTTTATGCTGACAAAAATACAAAACAGAGAAGTAACTTTACACAATGGCTGAGCTGTCCATAGTTCCTTAGGTCTCATACATTAAAATGAAAAAAAAAAAAGTACAGTTGTAATATACCCGGGAAGAGCACATGAGGTTCACATTTGAGCTTAATGTGAGTCACATATGTGCTAAACGCACAGCCCCTATATATATGTACTTTCAGCCAACATCCCAAAGTGTGTTCAATAGGTATGTACTTTGTACCTTGACATCAAAGAAAAGTCTCCATTTGGAACACTTTTAGGAATGAAACAAAAGAGAAAAAAATTAAGCCTAGATCGATGCTGCACATAAACTAAACTGTCAATAGTCCATACATCTATTTTTTAGCATGTGCCTCCTAAGTCAAGATACTGTTTAGACACAATAGGGGGGTTATCTGGGCATGCTAATTAAATAACACAGGATAAGAAACCTTTTGACAAAATTATTTTGATCTTGAACTATTATCTTGTATAAATATTTTGTGTACACATTCAAGTAATATTTAAAAAGTAATGAAACTTGAACAATAAAGTGATAGCTTTCACTCTACTTCAAGGAGTCATATCTTTTATATGAAACTAATTTTGATGTCTGCTACTTATTAGTAAATAAGGTCATCATCTGTGATCTTGTGCAAGCACATTTTGAAATATTAGTTAGCTATCATTAGTTAACACATGACTGCAATGCACACAGTATCATCCAACGGGCCCACTAACCCTAAATAAGTCATGAGAAGTTGGAGGGGAGAAAAATGCAAACTGTTGAGTTTGAATACTAGTCAGTTAAAAATAGTGTTTTTACTATTTTTCAGCCTGCATGAAATGAGAAAGGGAGATATGGAGGAAGAAGGGAGACCATGAAACAATTCTATTACCAATTTCACCTATTTTTTTTATCATAACTCCAACTAGGAACATACTTTTTTTAAAACTGGAGAAATATAAGAAAGGAAACTCATTATACATTAATTAATGGAGAAAGAAGGGTCTACACTGAAGAGCAGTAGTAGGAGCCATACTAACAGACTGCATCATGTGAAATGACAAAACTCTATTTGTAAAAAGCTAGTAAGATAAAAAGTCATCAATAAACTAGAACTAGCAAAATTAACTAGTAAAGCAGATGAAAGATTCACATGTATATATAGTAATAAATATATATGGGAAAAATTATATAAAGTTTCAGATGTGTAGGTATGTGTGTGTGTTTTTAATTTGCTGAGGCTCTTACACAAGTTTATAAGAGAAAACGTGTGCTGCAACAGATAAAGCCCAGAGGAATGAAGAGACAAAAAAGAAACAAAGTAGATGATTAGTAAACATTCATATGAAAAAAGTTCAAGTACACAAAAATCAAGACACACATTAAAGCATTGTAGTAGGAACATTTAATTGACAATATATCAATAAATTACAACAAATGAGGATGTGCTAAAACTGTCACTCTTAGATACTACTGATAATTCATACAGCGATGGTGACAACATCGAACGGAATAGCCTTACTGGAAAGTAATTAGGAGTCTGTGAAAAATTAAAAACCCTATAATAAAAATGTGTCATTTTTCAAAAACTGCAAAAAATACAATGGAATAGCTACATAATGAATGTAACTATGTAGATATAAAAATTAAGCATCATTAAAATTTTAAGGAATTGTATTACTCAGTTAAAGTATAACAAAGGCTTTTTAATTTTTATATACTTAGGGTTTTCTAAATTTTTGAAAGTGGTCATATTATACATTTTGTAAAAAGTTAATTTTACAAAATTAAGTTTCTTGAGGGTAGTAAACACTCAAATATTATGAAAACTTAGTTGAATATTAAAACACACAAGTGATGATGGTAAAGAGAAAAAAACTTGGGATAAATATAGATGTAACAATTAATTTTTAGTGGAAAAATACTGAAAATATATTAAAATATTAATAGTGTTAAAGTGGTAGTATTACATTATGCATTTCTTCTTTCCTCTATTATTTTCAAAATTTCTGTAATGTTACACTAAACTGTTAGCATAGATTAAAACTAACATAATTAAATATGTAATTTCCATTGTACTACAATACAAACTAATTTGACATGTATATGAAGTAGAAATAAAATAGACTGCATACCTCTCTTTCGTCCATATTCAACCACTGCTTTGGATCTTCCTCAGTAGCCAGAAAGGCTATCAATTCCAAAGCAGTAAGACGAGTTTGACGTCTCGATGAGACAAAGATAAGAACAGGTTTGGCTGGAGAATGGCTTCGAATTGCTGTTGAAAAGTTGTAGAAAATAAAATGGTAAGCCACTTATACTGAAATCTGAATTTATTAGAATATCAAAGGGATACATGAAAGCTAATGTTGTAAATGATTTAAGTGAATTCTTAATTTGGTCACAAGCATAGCATTATTTGAGGAACTACCCACAGACGGACTGCCAGCATACTTGGGGAAGGGCAGGAAATGAAAGGCAGCCCTGAGGGAGCACGCTGCCTGGCACAGGGAAGATTCGGCTTTGTTAGCTCCCAGTTCTGCTCTGAGCTCCTGAGGAAAGAGACACTTAAAAGCTGAGACTCTCCAGTAACAGTTGCAATATGGATACTAAATCTTAGGTTGAGTTTTCTATCTCTGAGTTAGGTCTCTGCCTGCCTGAACGATACTGCAGAGTCAACTGGTCCTGGGATGTGGAGAGCAAGTCAAGTCCTGCAGGCTGATGAACATTCTCTAAGAAAAACCACAGATTCCTTTTATTTTTGTCCTGTTCACAGTAAATGGAGAATTAAGAGAGTTTGTATCAATAAACTAGTAAGAGACAAGCCAGAGAATGTTTTCCTCTGTTTTTCTAAAAACGTATATGGTTTTAAGTGGGAAGATGAGAGAATGTAGAAGAGAGCCGAAGACAACACTAGGCCCGACTCTGTATCTGCATGATGGCACCTGGTAGTTGACCCACAGGAAAGGATTAGTTTGGAAACTGGGTTTTCAGATTGAAAAAACAACAACAACAACAAAAAACTCAAAGAGCCACATATATTATTTGACCTAACTGAAAAAGAGATCTCTCTGCTATAGACAGGCTCCAAAATAACTTGTAAAATGGCACAAGTAAAATTAATACTTATGCCTACTTAGCTTTCTTAAAATAGAGAGATTTAAAATTTTTATATAAGAATTATATACACAACCAGTTTATAATTTCTTGTTTCAAATGTGAGCTGTAGAATTTTTTTTTACAGGCTAAGACACAAGGTTTGTAATGGAAATGTTAACATGACCTTGACTATAATTACACTCTAGTAGTGAGAAATAAAGCTATCATAAAATCATATTTCTAAACTCAAAGAAATATGATGATAAATCATGGGTATAATTAAATAGTTTATAAAAATAGCTGCTGTGCTGATACCATGTTTAGAGAAGTGTATTTCAGTTATTTACTATTGATTTACACAAAGCAAAATGCTTTGTTTCACAATCACTGATATGCAATCAGCCATTCTTTAAATAAAATAAGCAAACTCAACAATATATACTATAAAAAATAAATTCATTTATCTTATTTCTCACTATTTATCAAAATATTATAGAATATAAATAGCAATTCTTTTATGAATCATATTAGAGATACAATGTGTAAAATACCATATTAGTACAATATTGGTGTCATTTGTACACATAATCGTGAATGAATGTCTCTTTTTTAAACCTCCACATTTAATGGATTTTTGCTGCTGCAAGAACAGGTGTGCCTGAACAGCTCACAGCAGATTTATTGTTCATTAGTGATTTTGTGCAATGCTTCTGTGGAGGTATAAATAATCTGAACTGCCAAGATTGGTCTCTAGTTCACAATCAATACTTTGCTTCTGTCATAGGGCTAATTAGAGCAGCTAAAAAGTCACCTCACAACTGTCAGTTCACAATCAACAGCAGTTCACATTACAGAATTTATTTTGGAGGTTATTTTTAATTGATATAATAAATATTCCTTATGTAGCCTAAACAAAACATGGTTCTATAAACTGAGAGTTATTCTTGAATTTTTTTCTGTTTGCCTAATTTGTTAGAAAGGGAAAAACAAAAAATAAAACACAGAAACAGAAGCAAAAAAGAAGTACTGAGATTTGTAAGTTTTAAGGTTTTTGCTAAAAAGTACGATTACATGATCCTGTTTTTACTGTGGCTTCTATTTATCATTTGTTCAAGCTACTTCCATAATGAAACATTTAACAGATTTTTAGACTGATCTGATTACTATCTAAAGTTATATACATTTACTGTACTACAAAGATCTTATCATTTATAAATCTAATACAGTTGAGGTAAATAGTTGGATATCTGTAGAAATTGGAGCAATAGCACACTTTCAAAGAAACCCAAATTTAGGATGCATTTAAAGGCTATCACATAAAATGGTTGCTATTCATCCCAAGAACCTGAAGCTTACCTTGAAATGTGGGCTTATTCATACTAGCCATACGAGGACAGTAATGTTGACCTGGGAAGCCTTGAATGTGAACTTCCAGTGGAACTGGGCGTACTGATGGTCGGAAGTTGAACAAGCCCATCTAGAGTAAAAATGAAAGAGAAGCCATTTGCAATTTTCACATTTAAGTTTATAATGTTATAGTGCCTCCTCACTGCAGCTACCTAAGTCACATTATCAAATGCCTGATTTATCAATCTTTGAAATACCTGACGAATATTGAGCCAGTCGGCAAGGTCTCTGGCATTAGCTAATGCAGTAGAGAGTCCAACTATTCTAACAGGCTTTTCTGTGTGTGATGAGATGAAATTTGTTCGAGAGACAATGACTTCTAGAACAGGGCCTCTTTCCTCCCCTAGGAAATAAAAATAATACATATTAATCATTTTAACAAATCCTGATGCTGGCTGATGCAGGTACAAGAATCAAAGTTTGTAAAATGGCTTCAGATACAGTGGTACCCACCAAGGAGATGGATCTCATCTATGATGAGAATTGTGACTTGCTTTACATAGGTCCTATTTTGCCAGCTTCTGCTGACTCCATCCCACTTCTCTGGTGTGGTGACAATGAGGTCGGCTTTGGCAATGGATTTCATATCAGGAGTCACATCCCCTGTCAGTTCAATAACTCTGCAGAGGAATAGAAATGATCCCTTTAATTTTTCAGGTAACATATGATTTTGAAAAGGCAAAAATATATCTTTCAAAATAATATTTTATAATGCTTAAGACACTTTATCTCCCTTTGATTTCTGAAATATTTTATGACTTGAGTCCAAAATAAATTTCTTAAGCATTTTAAGATGATTTTCTCCCATAAAATGAAGGATGTATAAAGAATTCAAAATACTAATATAACTTTTATGCTGATACAAAATGTGTCAGACTTAGCTGTGGTTATGTTTCTCTGCCCGATGTGAGTTATAGAGAGATGAGTTCAAACCTTCTTCTCAATATGCTGGAATAAAACCTTCCACTGAGGGCCAGTATTGCCTTATTAAGATAAAAGGAGGTACTGATTAAGAATATGATTATGTATAAGCTCCATTTCTCAGACTGAAATTTTCTTTATAGATTATAGGCAGATTCAAACATATTAGGACATAAAGAAGGAGGCTGGGACAAATATATACCACCTCATTCTGAGCACTGTTTTATAGTGAGAAAGAGGGAAATTTGGAGGCAAACTCAAAATTAAAAAATATCACTAAAATTTTCACATGTTTTAAAAAGGGTAAGGTTAGCTACTCCTAGTGTAGTGTTCCCAAAGCTTTTACTTATTTTCATTCATTTTCTACTTTTACTTACTATTTTGAATATGTAATATATTCATATGTTTCAAAGAATATATAGTGAGTAGTCTCTGTAGCATGCCTAGTCTCCAGTCACCCAGTTCTCATTCTGAAGCATATTTATATTTGTCACCATTTTGCAAAAACAAAGGTAGAATATTTTCTTTAACAGATTTTTAGCAGTATCTCTAGAGATCGTTCCTTCAATAAGAAAGAGCACTTTTTATAGAGCATTTTGTACTGTGTGACTATACCATAATTTATTTAATGGACACTCAGGTTACCTAAAATCTTGCTATTAAAAACAATACTACAATGAATAATCTTGTGCAATATTTAAATATTGTTTAAAAAGTCACATACTTCAAATAATTTTTATTGCTTGGTAAATTATCTTGCCAATTAAAGTATTCATATTAAATAAAATAATTGTATTTTTTATTTTTTGTTTTTGTTTTCTTTATTTTAATCATTGTTCAAGTACAGTTTTCTCCCTTTTACTCCCATTCCAGCCCACCCACCCAACCCTCCCCACTTCCCTCCCATTACCACCCTCCCTCTAGTTTTTGTCCATGTGTCCTTTAAATTTGTTCCTGTAAACCCTTCCCATTCTCCCCTGAAATTCCCTCTTCTCTCCCCTCTGGTCACTGTCAGTCTGTCCCCTATTTCAGTATCTTTGGTTATATTTTGCTTGTTTCTTTGTTTTGTTGTTTAGGTTCCTGTTAAAGGTGGGATCATGTGGTATTTGTCTTTCACTGGCTGGCTTGTTTCGCTTAGCATAATGCTTTCCAGCTCCATCCATGCTGTTGCAAAGGGTAGGAGCTCCTTCTTTCTTTCTGCTGCATAGGATTCCATTGTGTAAATGTACCATAGTTTTTTGATCCATTTATTTACTGATGGGCATCTAGGTTGCTTCCAGCACCGAGCTATTGTAAATTGTGCTGCTATGAACATCGGGGTGCAAAGGTTCTTTTGTATTGGTGTTTTAGCGTTCTTAGGATATAGTCCCAGCAGTGGAATTGCAGGGTCAAAAGACAGATCCATTTTCAAGAATTTTATTTTTTAAACTTAAAACAATGGAACTACTGATAACATTTTGGTAGTAGTTACATTATCTTCTTGTTAAATTGTATTTTTTCCATTACCATTTACACCTCCTAAAACATCCTCCACCCCTTTTTCCCTGCAATCACCGTACTGTTGTCCATGACCAAGAGTTTTTTCTTTTCCTTCCTTCCTCTCTCCCCTCCCCTTCCCTTCCCTTCCTTTCTCATTCCTTCTCTTCCTGCCCAACCCTTCCCTTTCTCCTTCCCTTTCTTTTTGCTTAATCCCTCCATCCTCACCCCACACCGGGAGCTGTAAACCTGCTCTCCATGTATGAGTCTGCCTCTATTTTGCTTCCTAGTTCAGCTTGTTCATTACAACATTATGCTAAGTGAAATAAGCCAGCCAGAGAAAGACAAGTATCATATGATTTCACTTAAATGTGGAATCTAATGTACAATACCTTTAAATAAAACATAATGGAAATCACTGTAAAAGCATTTGTTTTATGCAAATCTTTTATTGGTTGGTCCCTTTAGATTATTCAAAGCATACCTTTTGAAAAAAGTAAGAACTTACTTTTTACCAAGTTTTTCTTCTATTCTAATTTTCCAGTCATCCATTCTTTCACGTACGAGGGCTTTTAGGGGTGCAATATATACTGCCTAAAGGTGGGGGACAAAAAGACTCCCATGAAGAGTGTTTTTAAAATGCATCTTATATAATGAAAGACTTAAAATTTTAAATTAATGGGAAAAAGTCATTAACTTAATCTACATTTATCCAAAGACTGAAATATATAGTGCAGCATAATACTGACAGAAAACTTTAAGTATTTTAGCCCTGGCTGGCGTAGCTCGGTGGATTGAGCACAGGCTACAAACCAGTGTCACAGGTTCAATTCACAGTCAGGGTACATGCCTGGGTTGCAGGCCACAGCCCCCAGCAACCACACATTGATGTTTCTCTCTCTCTCTTTCTCCCTCCCTTCCCTCTCTAAAAAAAAATAAATAAATAAAATATTTTTTTAAAAAAAAAGAAAATCTTAAATATTTTGTAAAAAGTAACAGAGGTAATTTTTTAAAAACGATTTTATAATAAAATTATCTTCTAACATAATGTGAAAAAATAAAACAATTATGAGACAATATATATTATTTAGAGAAAATTAGGGTTCAAATCAAAGTAAGTTTTCCTAGGATTATAATAAAAATTATCTTTATTAATTTTAAAATTCTGAAGAGAAATAATCTGTCTAAATTTTAATGTTGATCTTTATGGAATATGCCAGTGATGTGTATATTTTAGGTGTTATACTTTTTATTATTAAAAAAAATACAAGTAGTCCTAATAATCAAATTTACATACAGATTATTCACAAAAATAATTCTTTTCTTTCTAAAAGTTTCAAATTTACAGTAGAGCTCTACTAGTATATTAACATATCACCTAATGGACCAATAATCACATAATATACTGAGAAGTAGGAAAACTTTAAGCAGGGAAGAAAAGTCACTGGAAGTCACTAAAAAAGGAAGTTAAAACATTTCTGAAACATTTCTGATCATACAATCAGAAAAATGGTACACAATTTTTCAAAGTGTTCCAAAAATAGAACCAAGCAATGAATAGAGAGCAGACTTATCAGATGCAGAGTTCAAAACACTGGTAATTAGGATGCTCACAGAAATGGTTGAGCATGGTCTCAAAATAGAGGAAGAAGTGAAGGTTATGCAACATGAAATAAAGAAAAATGTATAGAGAACTAATAGTGATGGGAAGGAAACTAGGACTCCCACATCAACGATTTGGAACAAAAGGAAGGAATAACCATTTAACCAGAAAAGAATGAAGAAATGAGAATTCAAAAAAATGAGGAGAGGCTTAGGAAAGTCCAGGACATCTTTAAACATTCCAACATCTGAACCATAGGGGTGCTAGAAGGAGAAAAGGAAGACCAAGAAATTGAAAATTTATTTGAACAAATAATGAAGGAGAACTTCCCTAATCTGGTGAAGGAAACAGACTTCCAGGAAGTCCAGGAAGCTCAGAGAGTCCCAAAGAAGATGGACCCAAGGAAGCACACACCAAGGCACATCATAATTATGTTACCCAAGATTAAAGAGAAGGAGAGAATATTAAAAGCAGCAAGAGAAAAGGAGATAGTTACCTACAAAGGAGTTCCCATAAGACTGTCAGCTGATTTCTCAAAAGAAACCTTTCAGGAAAGGAAGGGCTGGAAAGAAGTGTTCAAAGTCATGGAAGGCAAGGACCTACATCCAAGATTACTGTATCCAGCAAAGCTATCATTTACAATGGAAGGACAGTTAAAGTGCTTTCCAGATAAGGTAAAGTTAAAGGAGTTCATCACCAAGCACTTATTATATGAAATGTTAAAGGGACTTATCTAAGAAAAAGAAGGTCAAAAATACAAACAGTAGAATGGCAACAATCTCAGAACTATCAACAACTGAACCTAAAAAAACAAAACAAAACAAAAACAAATGAAGCAAACAATTAGAACAGGAACACAATCAAAGAAATGGAGATCACATGGAGGGTTATCAGCGGGGAAGGGGAAGAATGGGGGAAATCTACAGGGAATAAGAAGCATAATTAGTAGGTGCAAAATAGACAGGGGGAGGTTAAGAATAGTATAGGAAATGGAGAAGCCAAAGAAATTATATGTACAACCCATGGCATGAACTAAAGTGGGGGATGCTGGTGGGAGGTGGAGTACAGGGCAGAGGGGAATAAAGGGAAGAAAAAAATGGGACAACTGTAATAGCATAATCAATAACATATATTTTTTAAAAATCCTGTATTTGGTGAAGTACTCTATTTGTATTTCCTCCATAGCCAAAGACTCTGGATTGTGAATCATCATATATCTTATAATTCTGGCTGTGAATTAGGTATCTTACAATGAAAATGGTGATAAAATATAGGTATTTTATGATGAGGAAAGGCTATGTGAGTACCAATATGTATATAAAAACCAAACTAGAGGACTCCAGCATTTAAAGTACATTTTCTTGTGGCCAATTATTTTAATATTAATCTCCTCCCACCCAAACCTGACTACCAACTAGAAAAATTTCCTAGAAGAGTTTTAGAAGAGCCACTCATTGAGTCCTGCTAGTATTTTTAGAACCAGCTAGTATACAGATTATGAAATGCCTTTTCTAACTGAATGTAAACACGCGACTTTCTTTTTCAAACACACCTTTGAAGTAGGGTACTTGTTGAAGACTCTGAAAATGGCTAATTCAGCTGCAACAGTCTTCCCCGATCCAGTGGGTGCTCCAAGTAGGACATTACAGTCTGTGTGATACAGTGTATGAAATATTTGTGTCTGTACAGGGTTAAAATGGCTAAAGTTGTACAGTGCTTCATATGCTTCACAGTCCAAAGCCGTGACTGGTAGAGGCTGAAGATCCAGTAATTCTGAAAATACACATCAGGTATTGTTAATAACTGGAAAGTATGCACAATACTGAGTATTGTATCATAGGATTAAATTAGAACAAAGCTTTATTCTTTAGAGAGGAAAAAAGCTTAACATGAATTCTTATATACTAGTTACAGATGTTTTCCCCCCTATTACCCATGTATAGTATCGACCCACTGGACACTTTGGGGGGAGTTCCCCATATGCCAACGACAATGCCATCTTTTTTTCCCAATTAGGAAAGTAATTTGAATGACAGGTGTAAAAAATGTGTATGTTATAGAACAAAACTAAATGTACTCCAATTTGTAGAAAAATGAAAGTCACTCACAAACTTCAGTATTAGAATGTTTACTATCACAAATTACTTTTGGTTGGTTAGACAACTGACTAGAGTGGTCAAGTGAACTGCTGCTCTAGGTAATGGAAATCAAATTAACTTGAATTATTATGAGTTAGATTTTTATTCTGATTCCAATGACTTTAAAGCACAGGCACTTTTCAACATTAACTAAAACAATTTTGGAAAATCAACGATTCAAATTACTATTCAATATGTTACCTGTATGGGGAGGATGCCTCTCTGGCAGAATCAGATGTTGAAAGTTGATAATGCACACAGCTTCAGCTCCTAACCATCTATCGGACACTGCTCGGATGTAGTATTGGGAAGGCAAAGGTTCAAAAATAGGGATTGTAAACACCAGCAGTTGAGCTTCTTTACTAATGACCTAATGTGAAACAAAGTCTAAAATGAATATAGATATTCTAATATCATAAAGGTCTTATTAGTCTATTGTTAAGACAATGGTATCTAAAACAATATAAACTACAGATAAAGAAAATATTTTGGATTTCTAAATAGCTGAGATAATCAAATACTTTAGAAACTTGTGGACGGTTCCTTTCTGAGGATACCTAATATAACAGAAGGTAAAGTTATACTCAACAATATTCACAAAGTATTCATCATAAATTAATGGGCTAGTAATTTGATGTTTTTTTAAAGATTGCTTGATTGTTTAGAGAGAGGGGAAGGGAAGGAGAAAGAAGGGGAGAGAAACATCAATGTATGGTTGTCTCTTGCACGTCCCCAACTGGGGACCTGGCCTGCAACCCAGGCCCGTCGTGCCCTGACTTGGAATTGAACAGGTGACCCTTTGGTTTTCGAGGCTGGGCTCAATCTGCTAAACCACATCAGCCAGGGTTTATTTGACTTTTATCAGAATTTCCCAAACTTTACTCATTCAATTACTTAATTGTATAATTTTATTTAATATTTTTCTTTATCATATTTTGCTATGTGTAATGTGCAATTTTTTGCCCAAATCTTTGATGGAAAAATAAGGATGCACATTATTCATGGGTAGTACTAATTCCCTATCTATATAAATGTGTTTTTTTTATTTTTTTAAAGATTTTATTTATTTATTTTCAGAGAGGGAAGGGAGGGAGATAGAGAGAGACAGAGAAACTTCAATGTGCGGTTGATGGGGGTTATGGCCTGCAACCCAGGCATGTACCCTGGCTGGGAATCGAACCTGGGACACTTTGGTTCCCAGCCCGCGCTCAATCCACTGAGCTACACCAGCCAGGGCTTATATAAATGTTTTTAATTCTCTTATTTATGTTTATGTGTTAAATGTATAACTCTAGAAAGCAATAATGATATTCATATGCATAATACATATCAATATTGTATTATTTTGCATATGGAATGATAATTGGTTTTGTTTCTACATATAACTAAATAAAAGTTGAATTTAAAAATTAAAACAAAAGATTTTTTTCCTGACAGTTTGGGCCCAAAACGTGAGGGCATATAATACACAGGAGCGCATTATACATGGCAAAATACAGTAGATGACTTTATTAAGTGTAAAAACAAAACCATTTGGCATAATAGAAGGTAATTACAAAGACAAATGCAATGGAAACAAAACACTGCTAATGAAATTCTGCTGCCCACCAAGGCTCCCAGCCTGAAGCTTTCTTTCTCTTTGGGAAAAAGAGAAATTAGAACTGAAGCATCTGAGTCAGGCATGCTAGCATCAAATTGAGCCTTTCTCCTGGGATTTATAGAGAATTCCAAAAAGAATGCCTTATTTGATGGTTACGGTTTTTTAATGATATCTGAATAGTAAAAGTTGTGAAATGTTAATTTGAAACTTACCTATCGTATGAATTGATGGGCCCATTTAAGACTCTCACTCTACTATGTCAGGGGTCCCCAACCTGCCCTGTGCTCATTCCCGCCACCACACAGCCGGATGTGAGCTTGAATGTCATGGGCTTGAATCATCCAGAAACCATCCCCTCCTAATCCCTGCCTGTGGAAAAATTGTCTTCTACCACGAAATTGATCCCTGGTGCCCAAAAGGTTGGGGATTGTTGTACTCTTGCCTTTTTGAACTTTCATTTCCCATCCCCCTTTTCCTCCTATCTTTTTGTCACTGTATTTATTTAAATAAAGCTGTATTTTGCATTTAAAATTGTTTTAAAAATCACATTGTGATATAATACTATTTAGTACAGTGTTTATATAGCACCCAAAGTTATTATTATTTTCTCCTTATTAATTTAATTTATTTTTATATTATATATCCCACCTATTTGACATATTTCACCCTTCTGGAAGCCATGACTTAAGCAATGATAAAGATTACAATTCAATTTTTCAAACTAAGATCACATTGAATATTACCAATACTGTAACATTTAATTGTTTTCTTTTAAAACCACAGGGAAATATAAAAAAAATACAGCACTAATGACAGTACAAATTATAGAGAAATAAGTAAAAGCAGAAATTGTTAGTTTATACTTTCTATTTATGATAGCAACATAAGCATATAGCCATACATAGACATTTACCTGTTTTTTAAGAACTAGAAAATACTCTGAATGATAAATATGATCATTTGAAGGATCTTCTACCCAAATCCACCAGGGTTCTCCTACTGTCCCATGGACCTAGAAGAAAAATAGTATCCTTATACTACGTATATTGTAACTCAAGTAAGGAATATACACACTGTTGTTTGTATATCCAGCACCCACTGTTTTTAACAGCTTTGTTGATATATCAAAGTTTTCATTTAGAGTATACAGTTCAATGGTTTTAATATATCTACAAAGTTATACAATCATCTCTGTAATCTGATTTTGGAACATTTTCATCATGCTGAAAAGAAAACTCATACCCCTTATCAGTCACTACCTATCTTTCCACATCTCCCCAACTTCTAACCCTTGAGAACCACTATCTACTTTCTTCCTCTATAGATCTGCCTATTCTGGACATTTCATATAAATCATTTAATATGTGATCATTTTATATGGAATGATTTAATATGTGTTTTTATAACTGGCTTCCTTCACTTACTGTAGTGCTTTCAAGGTAATTCATATTATAGTACACATCAGTACTTCACTTCTTTTTATACACAAATAATATTCTATTAAATAAATGAAATACCATCTTTCATATATTTATTCCTCTTCCTCTCTTTTTTTTCCTAACAAAGCCCAGCCTTACTCAGTATTCATCTCTCAAGTGACTCAGGAGAAGGTGACCTCATTTCCTAGAATAGTTTTGATTAGATAAGGCAATCAACTATGGCACTCCCTCCCCCTTATAACAGGTTGCAGTAAAGGACAGATACCTGACCAATATTGGCCCAACTAGACCAAAGAAGAGGTCTTACAGTCCATGCTTTGGGCTGGTGCAGTGAGGTGTTTCCCTCTCTTTATATATGAACAAAGAAGCATGAAAATATTTGACAAGTAGCTAAAAGTGTCAGGACAGCAAAAGGATGCAAAGATCCTAAGCCCTGAATGACATGATTAAACAGAAGACTCAGTCAACTTTGGGGCCTATTCTACCTGTAGACATTTTATTGTGAAAGATAATGTATTTTCTTCTTTAATAGTTTGAGAGAAGTCATGCTTTTTATTCTTGCAGCCAAGAGCATTCTAACTAAGAGAGTTAATTATAAAAACAATTAAATGCTCCTTTTTACTGGTGAATTAAGCCAAATTATGACTTACTGTGGATGACAGAAGAAATTATGTAAAAACATATGAAACTTTATGAGTTTCAAAAACCTCTTAAATATAAAACTTGAAATATAAGTTTATGGTTAACTATGATTTTATATTTTATGTTAAATCAAAAATATTTGATTTAAATATTAAATATAATTTTATATCATCTGTTCCTCACAGAAATTCTGTGAGAAAGATTATTATTATTATTACAATGCTTACAGATGAGGAAACTGAAGAAACTAAAGGTGATGACACTTTAAGGCCACAGTAGATTTGTGTTAGGACTCTGGCTGTGTAATTTTAGAGCATGTTTTGAATAAAATTCATTTACATTAAAGGTGTACTAATGTCATGTAAATCAAAAGGTATTTGTATCCACTTAACTAGATCTTATAGTAATTATGTAAAGTACATATACTACAATTACTGATTTACTTGTCTTCGTCCATTGGTTTCTTGAAAGAAAGGAGTGAATCTTATTTGCATATCTATGACTCTACTATACTTTCTGCATAATAAGTGGTACAAAAATAGACCTTACAAAATATTGACTGAAGAAGAAGAAAACCCAGAGTGGATATTGACACACGTAATAGCATCTATAAACAGAAACAGGGGTAGAAACAGAAACAGGAATGTGATGGGGGCCAAGGAAGACATTTTCAAGCACTATGTATAGTGCTGAATGTTCAGAGAAGTAAAGAAAGTAACCATGAAAAGTCCATTTATTATGGCAACCAGTCAGTCTTTGGTGATCCTCGAATGAAGTAGTAGTTTCAGCAGGAAAGAAACAGGTGACCAGGAGGAAATGCAAAATACTCTTTCTACAAGCCTAATGTTAAAGAAGACAACGATAACATCAGGATTTAAACAGGGCTCCTTCAATATGGAGAATCTTTAATTTTTAGTAGGCTAAAATGACAGTAATTAGAGATGGAAAAACAAAAACAACAGAGAAAATGAAAGAAGACAGAATTAAGCAAAGTCCCAATGCAGTTGAATTCACTAAATGAATGTTCAATGTTGAGATTTCAGGTTTCCTAGAAGTTCCGAAGAGGTTTCATGGTTATCATACTAATATATCATACCACATTTTTCTTGATGAAAGTATTAGTACAATGTTTTAAATGAATCTTTATATATACACACACACACACACATATATTTGAGAGAATTTTCTAAATGCCTTAAGGACAGATGTAAGGAGGTACAGTTGAAGCTGCAGCAGAGACATTTTTGCTTAACACCGAGACAGGCATTTTCACTTCTACCTGATCATTCCAAGTGAAATCAGCACAGACACTGAGCGTCACACGGAGTACAGTCCGTGTGATGGGCTGAATGGAAGCTTCCATTGTAACGGAAGGAATTTGATGAACACATTGTTTGACCTTGAGCCCAATATTCACATGATGCAGCATGTGACCTGCAAGGAAAACATCACATAGAAGAAATGTGTCCAACAAAATAAAAGCAATATAATCTGACTTGTAAATGGGATTTCAGAGAGGGTGATTTTATTGCTTGTTTTATGATTTGCTATGTAGAATAGCTGACATTCTTGACCTGGCATGTTTGAATATTTTGTAATAGTTAACTCGAATTAGCAATTCATAGCTCTGAAAACCAGTATCAAGGTTTCTTCAGCTATTAATAGGGTTCTTAAAATTACTGAGACTTAATAGTGTTTAAACTACTATAAACAGTTCTTTTTTTCCAGTTAGTTTATGACACATTATAAAAATATTTAGTGTTTTTTTGAAAACAGCCATTAATTTACTCAAGTTCTATTTCAGAACTTAATACCCACGATGAGAAATGCTTTAATAATAACACATAACTCATCCATCCATACCCATTTCCAAAAAACAAAGATAAAGTATTAAATATGGTCAATCTGGCACAAAATTAACCGCTTACACATATTTTCATAAATGATCAGATTCTAAAATACAGATATGTATGTGAGGCCCAGGGTGGGTTAGGGAGTCACAAATAAATGTGACTTACTATGAACATTTTCCTATGCTAGTCCAAGTAACTTAAAGGGGAATAGGTTACATATACACACACACACATTCAATATTACATTCAATATTTTTTGTATTAGTTTATAGTATTAATATTTCTTATATGTCTTGGTTCTTCATAATACAATTTTTTAAAGAACATTTGTGAATAAATCAAATGTTTTATATTCATCCAAATTTGAAACCAAAGCATTCCTCCTTATTTTGATAAAACATTTATAAGTCAAGTCAAAGAACATGTACAAAGGACCCATGGACAAAGACAATGGGGTGGGGATTGTCTTTGGGAGTGGGGGTTTGATGGGGCAGGAGAGAGAGTAGTGGGGGGAAAAATGGGGACAACTGTAACTGAACAACAATTAAAAAAAAGAAATGGTACAATTGAAAAAAAAATTTATATATGTTACCCCAACATGAATACTCTCTTCTGTAGTTAATATCCTTAATTTCTCTCTATTCATATCAGTGCCTCCCTTCTGTCTTAGACGTATTCTTACTACAAGTGAGATGACTATCTCAGCCTCTCTTCACATCTTTGGACCTTTTGCCAGTAGCAATCCTCCCTCTTATTTTTCTTCAGCCTGACTCCCTAAATGAGTAGTAGCTACTCATTTAGAATCTGAAATATTACCTAGTTAAAGCATTATATGTTTGTCCAATTAAATATTAAAATACATGGAAATGTGTGTAGGAATAATTTTTCAATATTATGTGAAAAACCTTGTTAACTAATTCTCATTATTTAGAGCTGCGATTCTATATGTAAAACACTCAACAGTGTGACAACTTAAATTCCATTTAACTGCTAATTCTTTTGAGTGACATCATAAAATTTGGAGGGACCTCTATTAGAATTTAGATAAATGAAAAAAAATTCATACGCAAACCCTCCATCCCCTTAAATTCACCCCCTGGCTGCCTACCACTAGCTATCTTGCTCTCCATCTATGAGTCTGTCCCCATTTTCCTCATCAGTTCAGTCTGTTCATTATAGTCCACATATGAGTGAAATCATATGGTATTTGTCTTTCTTTGACTGGCTTATTTCACTTAGCATAATATTCTCCAGATCCATCCATAATGTCACAAAGGGTAAAATTTTCTTCTTCTTTTTACAGATGAGTAGAACTCTGTTGTGTAAATGTTCCAGTACTGTTTTATCCACTCATCTACCGATGGACATGTGGGCTGCTCATGGGCATGGACAACAGTGTGGTGATTGCTGCAGTGAGGGGAGTATAAGGAGACTAAAAGGTAATGTAAAAAAATTCAATAAAGATTAAAAGTAAAAAAATAAAATAAATAAAACAATAAAACAAAAAAAGAAAAGAAAAAGAAACCAGGTGGGATGAGTGGAGCTCACATGCATTCCACGTGGATAAGTGAGTGCAAAATGTCAGACATTGGTAAGTAGACCATATTTTTGTGAACTGAGGTAAAAAGGGAGGGAAGAACCAAGGAGGTACTAAATACCAGGAGATATCTGAGGCACTCAGTACTCAGGAGGCCTCATTTGACAGGACAGATGCCCACTGCAAACCCAGAATTCAGGCTGTGTGAACCCCCGCCCAAATTGTACCAGATCCTAAATGTGTTAGCCTCCCCAATGCTTTTGCTTTGTTCCTCACTGCATATTTTACATTGACTGAATAAAGCATATGTGAAAATTCACGATACTTATTTTATATCTAGTAAAATATTTTATGTGCACAGAACAACACATTAAAACATTTTTGTTTCCTTCTTACCTATTTCATCTTTTCTCATGTCTTTCAGCTTATCCACAGTAAGATTTTTCTCTTCTAATCTTGTTAGAATGTGTGGTGGTAAGACTGAAAACTGTCTCAAAGGGCTAGCCCAACCCCAGAGCCTCTTGTCGATGACTTTACTGAGATTCAGGAGCCTGTAGGTCATGGCAGGCCAACGTTTCCTCAGAGCAATTTCAAAGAGAGCACGGACAATTCTAGCTGCATTCTGAAGAATAAAAAGGGGAGATTGGTGGTTAGGTAACATGGGTTTTTAAACCTGTCAATACATTTATTATTCAGACTCAGTTTCAAGAAAAGTATGTTAAGGTGCATCGTTTAATTGTGGGCAACATCTATTCTCATATACACCTAATTATCTTTATTATTTCTATATAAGAATAACTAGGTCCTTCATTTGTATGTGGATGTTACCCTGTTTAACTTTCAGAGGGTAGCCTTATTTCCAAGTTCTTAGGAAGCTCCAACCTATACCCTCTAAATGGGAATAAAGCAGGAAGAGAAAAAAGGCACACAATGCATTTAGGGGGCTGTTGAGGCCACCTGAAATACAACAGTCTAGTATAGTAGTAAGATTAAATTTACAAGGCTACTTAGAGAAATAAGGAAGACTCTGGGACACAGTCAGGGATAACAATTGGTAAGAGAAGGGTGACAAAGGAAATACTGATAAATGCAGCTGTCCATGTTAATGACTTCCTATAGACTAAGTAGTATGTTAACTGCTTTATATATACACCATCTGTTTACTCTTTGTAACAACTGCATTTGATTGGTCCTGATAATATAATTTTATAGATAAAGATACTAAAGCTTGGTGAGGTTAATAATTTGACCAAGGTCACATAGCTGGAATCAGAGTATCTATTCAAAGGCAGATTTAAACAATTGCAAACGTAACTCCAGGATTCTAAATTCAGTGGTCTGAAAATAATTTCATTAATAGACATATAGAAAGTTATAATGATTGAAGACATTTTCCCCATCTGTACAGTTAGTTTCCATTTGTTTTACCTCCTTTCCTCTATCATTAATTAACACTGAAGATTGTTTTTAAAATCATGAACTTGGAGATACTTTATAATATCTAATGATATCTGTATATGAAAATAAAGAATGTTAAATCTGGTCAAAATCATAAAAAGAGTAAAGATTTTAAATAGCAAGCAGATGACCCAGCTTAAAATTATGATGGTAAGAGTTAGGGACTTTAGTTTTACATTTTATATGAAATGTGTATTTGTCTTTTGACAAATCAATTATTTTTTTTTCAGTGTTAGAAATGTAAGAAAAGATATGGTATTTAGAACTATAAGGACAGTTCTGATATCCATTAATAAAAACAAGATGGCTTTTACTAGGCCCAGGGAATGATAAATAAAATGAACATTCTGATTATTATGTCTAATAAGTCTTATCACCATTCCCATTGCTCTTGTAAAAAACTGCTGGCTAATTTTCCCACTGTGTTTGAAAGTATATACTTTGTTTTTATTTCAGAACCCACAGTTGTTTCCACAAAGCTCCGAGAAAAGGAAAGAGAAATCCCATGTGACAGGATACAAACAAGACATTTTATGTGGAATGATATAAATCACGTGGAAATAATGATTCAAGTCTCTGACATGTACCGCTTAGAGGGCCAAATCTCAGCTTATTTTTTTAAGATTTTATTTATTTATTTTTAGAGAGAGGGTAAGAGAAAGAGAGAGGGAGAGAAACATCAATGCGTGGTTGCCTCTCGCATGCTCCCCTACTGGGGACCTGGCCCACAACCCAGGCATGTGCCTTGACTGGGAATCGAACCAGCAACCCTCTGGTTCGCAGGCCCTTGCTCAATCCACCAAGCTATGCCAGCCAGGGCAAATCTCAGCTTTTTAAAATAAAATTATAGGATATATGAGCCAAGGATTTTCGATAGAATAAAGTTAAAGAAACAGAGCAGTACCACTTTACAGAACTGAGAGAGTGCTTGTGGAAGGAACTATTGATAGCCAAACCTTAAAATATAAATAAAATCAACAACGATTTATCTAATGCATTCAACGATAATAAACCTGTAATAGCTATTAAAGAAAACTAGGGATACTTTGAAATATGTCCTCAATGTTCTGATACCTACTTTCTGCATATGAATAATGAAGAAACAGTAAACTTTTTAAAGTATTTTATTTATTTATTTTTAGAGAGAGGAGAAAGGGAAGGAGAAAGAGAGGAAGAAAAACATAGATGTGTGGTTGCCTCTCACACACCCCCAACTAGGGATCTGGCCCACAACCCAGGCATATTCCCTGACTGGGAATTGAACCGGCAACCCTTTGGTTTGCAGGCTGGCACTTAATCCACTGAGCCATACCAGCCAGGGCAGAAACACTAAATATTATATTGTAAAGCAATTTGTATATCAGTCTCTGATAATATATATCTTCATAGTTTTGAAACAAGCAGAAATGTGGGCAGATTTTTCATCTAGAACCTAGTAAAGCTTTACATTTTAGTTAAATCATTAACTATTTCAATATAAAATCATAAAAGAGAAACATAACTTTTAAGAAAAACAAATAAAGAAGTTAGAAACATGATTCCTATAAAGCTATAGGTTTTAGAGAATATATAAAATTTTTCTATGTCAGAAACATCTTATCTAAGATGCAAAATAAGTTTCCACATCATCTGCTGTCTTGGTTATATTAAGTTACTGCATTTATTCAAATTGTTTGCCAACATCTTGTTTCATGTTTGTAAATATTTCATATTCATAGTTTTATCAAAGCATTACTCAGTATGCATGGCAATTTATATTAATTTAATACAAAAATACTTGTTCTATATTAAATCTTTGAAGAAAATTACAAATATAAGATAAAGATTAAGCTTTTACTTCTCCTTAACTTACAAGAGGCATTACTCAGTAAAAATGAAAATGGTATTCTTTTTAAACTAAAGAATTTTTTTAAGATCCTTTTGTAGTTCATAAGCGTGATGATTGGGTGTTCACGCTCTTGTGTGACATGTGCCTCCCACAAACTTTGTTAAGACATAGGCATATTACCTGTCTGACAGAAAAAAAAAAAAAAAGAAAAAAAAAAGGCATTTGTAAAAAAAGCTTATATCTGTAAAGAAAACCTCTCATTTGAAAGGTGAATAACACACAAAACAACTCTTTACTTCACATGGGCCTTAAATATAAAAACATAAATATTACAACATTTAATACTATAGTATTTTTTAAAACTTGTACATTTAATAAGCTATAATTTAGGGAATAATTTTCTTTTAGTCCTCAATTTTTAAATATCAACAGTAGAAAAAAAAAAGGACTTTTTTTTTAAACCAGAAACTTATACTAAACATATGGTCTCAGGTATATTTATAAAGACTTATTTAATGATAAAAAAAAATCTGTTTATATTTTTAATGTTTGGGGAAAGCTATGATGGTTCCACAATATTTGCTTTTTTTCTTTAAAATTTCTTTTATTATTTCCCTTTGTAAGTAAAAGAAGTAAACATTATCATTTAAAGTAAAATAAATCATATGTTGATACTTTTAAACTCTAAAATAAAAACAACAGCAATATTAGAGCCCAAGTAACCACCAAATTCTAACCCCCATTCCTGATCTAATAGCTTAGATGGCATAAAAGATGAACAAATTCAACAGAACCAGTTCTAGGATAAAATAGTAATTTGGCAGCATGTCAGCATGCCATGCACTCACAGTAGAGCATGAAGTAATTCCTTGAGTCTCTAAAAGTAAACGAGAGAGAAGAAATGGGGAGAGAGAAATATTCTTACCTGTGCAACATATGCAGAATCTGATATAAGGGAGAAACTGTCCATCTCGCCTCTGCTGATGTAAGTCTGAAGTAGGATATTTATTTTCCCATAACTGTTCTCTACACCTCCAGGAGCTGAGAGTTCACAGAAATTGCTTAATAAGGCTTCTAACTCATCTATTTCCTCTTCTCTGACCTAGAAGAATCAATGTTTTTATATAAATATTTGGGCTGATTTACTGAAGTTTTTCATATTGAAATAAAACCACATTGCAAGTTTTTAAAATATTTTCCATTTGTATTTTCCTTTGTATGCTAAAATAACAGTAATTGTTTTCATAGGTAGTTAATAACAAAATAAGAAATTATCTTGAGGTTGAGACAATTACATTTTATTATTCATCACCAATATTAAAGTTGCCATTGACATATAAAAATTTGATATGCCACAAAAATTAAATCCTCTGACTTCACTATCCTTCAACTGATGAGATTTCATATTTTATTTGACCAGAGTAAAACCTCTGCCCAAATGGATTAGGGCAAACTTGAATTATCTTCAAATGCATTCATTAGAGTCATATATTTTTATATGGTATAACACATTCATAGCTTAAAGCTGTGAAGTACTATGATTTAAAGTATTAAAGTTTTCACTATTAATAAGATTAAATTATAATATGAGTTCAGAAATATTCAGATCTAAGTTTGAATCATACATGTCCTTCATATTTTTAGTGAACTTTATATTGCAAATAAACCGAAATCTACATATATATTCTCTGAAAATTTCATTATTTCAAAACCTACTTAAATTGTATTTGATTTGCAGTAGAGAGCAAAGAATGATGTCAGGTATGACATAATATCATAATCTAGGATAATGGACATTGTTGATAAATGGAAGAACATTGCTGGTACTGCAAATGTGAAGTGTCATACAGCTTACAGAGCATCAGGCATAGCAATTACTGATTAGCTTTTATGACTGAATGAATACATATGTTATATGTATTTGATTCAAGCTTTAAGTAATCTTACCTTGATTTGCTCAAATTCTTCAGCTTTGGAGACTATAGCAAGGATATCACTTTCTGTTTTGTGAGCATCAAAGAGTTCATTGAAGGTCTACCAAGGTAAGTGTTACATTTGATTAAAATAGAAGGTTCAATAAAATATTTTAAATTAAAAACATGGCTGTAAATCACACATTCTTAAAGAACAGTTGAGCCTTGACAACACAGAGTTATGATGTGTGTGGCATGCTATTCCAAATCTCTGCTTATTTATCAGAGACTAAAAACCATTCCTAAAATATAACTAGCTAGAGAACATCTTTCTTTATAAACAAAAAGGGCAATAAATCAGTTAACAAAACCTACATTAGATATCTAAAAACATGTTCCGCATAAAATTATGAACTTGGCTTATAAATTTAGAGAAGAATAATTAAAAATATGTAACCTGAAGATTTTGGTGATGATACTGAAATATTAGTAGTAAAGGCATAAAGAAATTCAGGTAAATGGGAATAAAACAAATCAGTAAAGGGCCATATAGAATAAAAGCAAGGCTGAAGAAAGGCCAGAATTTCTGAAAGAGAGCTGCAAACAGGTTTCCGATGTAGTTTGGTTCCAACACACTACCAGGTGGACTAACGGGAAAGGTTACTTAGTGGACAAAATGGGTGGGCGTTATATGCATAAGCACATGTTAAATAAGTACAAAAGTTAGATTTCATATATGCCTAGGTTTTCATATTTATGAAGCAATTTCACTTCAGTGATTTTTTGTTAACACTGTGACTTTAAAATGATTTTAAATACAAAAATAAAAATGAATATAAGAAAAAAAATTTTAAACTTTTTCTAAGAATAAAAAGCAAAAGTTCATCTTAACCCAGCTTCCTCTTTTCGAACTTTAAGTTCTTTCCCCACAGGTAACCACTGTGAAGTATCCCCGTGCACTGACATATGTATGTTTATAAACACACATAAAGACATGCATGCACTCTTTAAAGTGTCAATACTATAGTGGCGCCTGGTCTGGTCCCACATAACACTGTTAAAAGGAACAAGCAAAGTACCAATTATATAGACAAAATTACCTTTATAATTTTAATAGCTTTTCTAACTCTTCTTTAGGACTTTTTCAAGTGCAATTATTTTTCAAGTTTTTATACAAAGATATCGTTAAGCCATTAATTCCCAGTTAAAATTATTCGGGCATTCATCCCACAGGTCTCATCAACATGCTAACTGTGTCAGTTTCGGTGTATCTACCGCTACTTATTGAACAGGATGGCAAGGGGGTCCTTAATATTTAAAATCTTATTTTCTTCTTGTCTTTACTGAGCCTATGTTATTGAATTCATTGTGGTAAAAACATTTTTATCTATTAACAATGTGCATTATTTTGCATTAACCCTATATTGTGACATCCAGAAAATATCTGCATCTAATAGCAAGGATATTATTGCATTTGTTCCACTCAGTTTAATACCTCAATGGTGTTGTATTTAATATAGTAGTGGCTGGCTGTTCTACCCAAATCGGTAGAGGAAAAATATCCCGTTCGCTCCTCAAAACGAATCATCCTAGCTTTGTCTAGTTTTCGTCCAACTTCAATGACCAACTGTTCACGATGCTTTGCTAATGTCGGGTCAATCTATGGGGGAAAAATATATAAGCACTTCAATATTTCTTTAGATAATCACCATTTTTCTTTAGTTACATATACCTACTTATGATACCTAAAATTTTTGTTTTAGTTAGAATAATCTTTTTATTACAATATTTAAGAAGCACATATTTATAGATTTATGATATAACTAGAAATCATTTTATTTATTAAATAAAACAAATAAATCAAAATTTATTTGGTTTGAATAGAATATACCTATAAAATTCATTCAAATTATCCATCTCCATGTTATTATCTTCAATCGAAAATTCTTACATGGTTATAATCTTTTCAAAAAATTTCTATTGTTGTTCAGTTACAGTTGTGTGAATTTCCCCCACCAACTCCCTCCACCCAGTCATAACCTTTAAGGTTGTAAAAACTAGAAGTCAGCTCTAAGAAAAAAAAGTCTTCTCCTTTCCACACTTAAATAAACAGGGATTTTAAAATATCAAACCATGTTGTTACTCTATCAGTATTTGGAGAAATGATAGTGAGGATGCTTTCCTATGACAAAGTATACAAAAATAAGTAGAAAGCTATCCTTTCAAAAGTATGGTTTTAGTGTTCCAGCAGTTTTCATAACTGCTGATGGGAAAACCCATTTTTCCCTATAATAAGAGAAGCAAAGAGGAAAATAAAGTAATAATGAATTTTAAGTAGTTTTGAAGCTATCATATCAGTCTTTTTCCTAGCAGAAAGAACATTTATTAACAAATATTCTCATTACTGTATGAGAAAGTGTGTGAATGTGTGGATGTTTACATACACACACACCACAAGCCAGGTCCGAAAGATCACTCTCTGGTCAGGAACAATAAAGTGGGATATGCCCTTTAAAGGGTATACAGCTAAAATAAATTTAAAAAATCAGAAAAGTGAGGCAAAAAAAAAGTACCATAAGGAAGTAAGGTAGAGTCAAGAATCTTATTAGCAAATACAAAGTCTTAATATTTGCTACAAGTGATACACTTCATATATCAAGTTCATCTTATTAAAACATTTTATTAATCACATATCACTAAACCATTAAAAATATGTTAAACTGCATGATATGTGTTAGTTCATGAGTATTGTGGTTACAAATTCACACTGAGTAATAAAATGAAAACATATAAGTTAAAAAAATAGAAAGGTAAGGTTCTCTGAACTGTGAAGGCGGTAAAACCCTATATCTCAGAAGAAAAAAATTCCATTTTCTTATATTGGGAAATTATACAAAAATGACTTATGATATTAATCTAGTACTTAAAAATCAATTGGTGTGTTTATATTGTGCCAAGAATTGAGATGTCTTAGTCTGTGAAAATGTTGTGTTTTGTTTTATCCCTTCAGTATATTTTAATAGTGCTACTATTTTCACAAAGCCTATATTTGAAATCAGAATAGCTAGAATCACATTCTTTAAAATTTTTAAGGCTTATAGGTTACAATGCACCTATATTTTACAGCTGGGAATAATTTGGTTGTAAAAGAAGATATCCATTTGAAGAATAGCATATATTTTAACTGAGAAGAAAGGTAGTCACGAATTCCAATTACAGTTAATGCAAGTATAAAAACAATGATTTCATGTTAGCAGCTTCAGAACTAGTTGCTGCTAATACTTTTCTATTTTTTTTCCTCCTCAGTCTTATGTTTCAATTTTTCCATGGTCAAATCTACTGTACAGGAAAAAGAAAATGAAAAAAAAAAAGGCAAGATTGGCAACTGCTTTGATTACACAACAGAATATAAATAAAAACTAAGCTATTAGTTAATATAATTCTAAGTTGAATTCAGTTTCTTTGCTAATTTTTACTTAACCCAAGTGAATATGCACATGATGATGGAGAAATAATGTTTTCATTAGAGAACAACTGGATTATATCTGTAATTAGGAAGCATTTACAGTGTACAAAGTGGAGTTCTAAAGAAAAGACAAGATCTCACAGGATCTGTGAGCCATGTGGACCACACAACTGCAGAGCTCACAGGAATAGTTGCTACCACATGCATCTCATTCACAGTCTATGTGCACAGAACTGATCCCAACCTCCAGGCTATTAAGATAATAACTCATCAATTTATTATTCAGATATATTTATAGCATCTCTGATATAAGAGGTGCTATAAATAAAGTAGAATAATTGCAGAGGACAAATTTAATTTTCCTTAATATTTTCTAAAAAAGGTTAAAGCTCTTTGTTTTTCTTCCAGCTACCTAACTCTTTTCAGATGAGGCAGGAATAGCAAATATTTATCCTCATACCATGAAAGGATTACAGAATTAAAAAGAAGGTTAGATTTCTTTTCTTTACAAATGAGTTTTCTACCTGATAAGCCTTGTGACTGATGCCATATACTAATGGATTTGCTCTCATCCGTACATAAAGATAAGTGTAACTTATCCACTTCACTGCTTCTTCCACATTAGTGACTGTTCCCAGAGCAATCTGCAAATCAAAAATATCACACAAATTAAACCAATCCATTAAAGTTGAATATAAACATTATATCACAGACCATTTTATCAAAAATTAAGTTTTTAAAACACATCATCACTATGCTGTAATTAAAAGGTGTAGCATGATTATTGGACATGACAGTTCTCCAATTAATTAAAAATCAGTTCTGCTTCATTTAATTGAAAACAGTACATTAGAAATGCTACTTTCCAAAACTGAACTTTCTCAATATTATGGCATTTGATTATTTTTCCATAAATGGGGTTTAATTCTGTATAGCATTTAAAACCTTTTGGTATTTACTTTTCTTCTTGCTTCCTTCTTCCTTTGGTTTTATTTTATGTGCTCACACTACTAAAATTGTAAATGTAAATGCACCACAATCATAATATTGCTAAGTCTATCCCTCTTTATTGTGATTCCATGTATGTCATTACCAAAACAACAGAGGGCATAACATTAACTTTTACCTCTAAAGATACCCATTTATAGGTTGGTAGTATAAATATACAATATAAATTCAATGAAAAATGCAATCATTTCTACAATAATAAAGATTTTATTGGGATTTATACATATTAATAATACATATAATTTAAGAAATCATACAATTGGGAATGGTTTTAATATTTTATTGGGAAACTTAAAATAGCTTATTAAAAAAGCAGATTTTTGTATATTTGAATTATAATAACTGCTGGATAATACATTAAATTATATTGTAAAAGGAAATACAATTTTAATATAGCATTTTAATGTGGGTATAACACATTAATTTCATAAAACCAAAAGCTAATTTAAAAACATGACAATAGCACATAAGATCTGTATAATGAAGAGAAGGAATTGTTAGAAAATAATCTTAACATAGAATGATAATGAAAAGTTTTCTTAAAAATACATTTCCTTACCATTGGATCTATAGGTACTTGTTTTGCTTTTACTCAAAGCATTCATTTTAGTTTAAAATTCATTCAAGTTGTGAAACTTCATAGCTGTATAATTTTTCCTGAACCTGTAGCTAAAAAATAATTGAACCTCTCAATACTTTAACTAAAGGAGAAGAGATGTTCCCTACCTAAATTATTACATTTTAGAAGGGGAAAAAAGATCCTCTCATTTTAGTACTGAATATTAAAGAAAATAAAAATCTTTACATTTGTTTCATTCCCATATTATAATTTTAAATTCATTGTAACTAACTCTGTGAAATAAATATGTAAATGTATAGCTATCTGTAGTTAGTTAAAGATATAGGAGTATATGTAATTATAATCATATTATGCTATTAAATAGAGAAATGACCAAAAATAAAAATGATAAGGCAGAATGTGACTGTTGGCTTTTAAATTTACACTAACTTAAAAAATGTCAGACAAAGAAAGATAAATACTAGATGATTTCACTTATATGGAAAACCTAAAAACATAGAACTCACTGAAATAGAGCAGAATGGTGACTTCCAGTGGCTGGGTGAAGGGGAAAATGGGGAGGTGTTCAAGGTATACAAACTTTCAGTAATAAAAAGAATAAATTCTGGGGCTTTAACATACAGCAGGATGACTATAGTTAATACTGCACTGTGTACTTGAAGTTGCAATGAAAGTAGAGCTTTAATGTTCTCTTAATAACAACAAAATGATCATTATGTGAGAAGAAGGATGTATTTACTAACCATTATGGTAAACATTTCAAAATATATACATTTATCAATTTATTGCACTGAACACCTTAAACTTATACATATGTCAATTATATCTCCATAAAGCTGGAAGAATACATTTTCACTAACATATTTACAAATGACTAAACCAGTCATAACAGAAGTAAATATATACATTTCCTAAAATGTGAACTGTGAGATTTGCTACAAAATGAAGAGTAACAGAAACTAAAATGTAAGCTAATGACGGATTTGTGCAAATTCCTAAATACTTTCCAATAAGACAGTTAAACATTTTCTAGTGTGCTCAGGTAAGGGACACTAGTTTAACAGTGTCCCTCATTTGAGATTCTATTATTTGACAGCCAAAATTGTGTAAATTCCCTTATGACCTATAGATATTTTAAAATATCATGCAACTCCTGAGAAGAAATTTTTTATAAAATTTTCTTATTATTTTCAAAATTAGACACAATAAATTAACATTAGTAATTATCTACTGACAGTGATGATAAGATTAAAAAGAAAGGAGAAAGCAGGAATCAAAGACTAGTTCAAGAAGTGCCATCTTCTAAATGTTCACTAAAAAGAAACAGACTACCAAGGAAAAAGAATGGAAATTTATGATGGTACATCAATAACATTTTGAGATTAATCCTAGAATGCCACTAGTATCAAATATTAAAATTTACCTATAAATATTTGCTGTCACCTAGTGGCTACTTAGTATAGGAGCCTTTTATAAAATAAGTATTTTTCACAGTATTTCTTTGAAATTTATCCATTCATCTCAGTAATCACATAGTAATTCAGTATAAGACTTACTACATAAAGCACAATGGATACAGTAACAAATAGAACATGGTCCATCATCTCAAAAAGTTCCCTGGTCTTGTAGATGAGACACATATAATGAATTAAGATAACATATATGAAACCACTACTACAGTGCCTAGCACATAATATGTATTCAAAAATTCCTTTAAAGAACACCAAAGATGTGAAACTTATAAAAATGCTGTTAGTATATAGTGTAATAGAGCTTTAAGGTCTGTTAGGGGAAAAAAAAATCACAGATTTAGTAATTTAGAGGTAAGACTCAGAGTGTCACTTTGTATCTAATTTACTTACTTAAACTTTAGTCTTTAAAGTTATTTTAACTGCTTATTTGTATGATTTTAAATTAGTTGAAATCATATAAAATTAAATAAGCAAATATAATCCCACTGAAGTAGTTTTTAGATATACTTATACATGAAAAAACATTTATGCTACCACTCATTCAGTTATGTATTCAACTAAAATGTGAATGTTGACAGTAAGTATAGGCGGGGCTCAGAATCAAGAAACTGTCAGCTGATGGTGATACAGTCTTTCACTGAGTACCAAGTAGGCACAGGCATTTGTTAAATTTTTACAAAAATCCATTATCCTCCTTTTATAAACAGGAAAATTAGGCTTGACAGGAGAAGTGAGTAAACAAGTGACTGTCTAGAGCAGAAGATCTGTGCTGGAGAGTAACCAGAACCAGAATTGGGATGGCTGGTCAGACTGTGGAGGCCTTAAATCCAAGGACAAGGTGTTTGTACTATGTCCTGCAGGGATGGAAGGAGCTCTATACAAAGATGTATGTATGGTTATAGAGGAAGATTAACATACTTTAAAGTATAGACTACAGGGAGCTGGCAGAGAAAGTACCCAGGAGTGTCTGCCAAATAAATTGTAACAAGCCTCAAACTTGCTTGTTTTTCTCTCAGTGCAAAATTAAGTAGCTTTACCCAGGGCTGGGATTAGTGACCTTTTGGCATTAGCATTAAAAACTCAGCCCCTTATGCATCAATCAGCAAAGATGCCTCATAAAATGTTTGCACTAAAATTGATGTAATACTTTCTCTGGTTCTTCTAAACTAATGGTTTAGACTGATATTCATGTTATCAAAGATATTAGTAGAAGCAACACTGCTAATCTAACATGACCTTTATGTTGATCACTGTCACTGTGTAGTCTTGCAAAGATTCGAGGACTCTAAAGTCTTAAAAATCCATTACCTTAAGGACACAGCCCACATTCTTTTTATAAACTAATTTCACACTTGATTTCCACAGATTACTAAATTTAATTTCACACTCAAATACAATTTAAGAGAGTTTCTTTCCTTAAGGAGAAATTTTACTTTAATTGGGAGTTATTCAGTAGACCACAATATGAAAAAGAAATTTTATGCACAGAAAAAAATGGTTAAACTTCACTACATTAGCTAAAATTTTCAAGGTATATATTTTATTATTTAAATGCCATTTATGGTATTAAATGGAATTAATGGTTAAAGTTAGTCTTTCTGAAAATGATATACCTAACAAGTACTTTATGATAGATGAATCTAAGGACTACAATTTATTTTTAATATCTCAGGACTTGACTAAAGAGTTTCACTGATGGCATTTTAGAGTCCCTAGGAAGAAAGAGTTCCTTGAGGACAAGAGCGGTGATTTATTCACCTGTGTCTTCTGCGTAATAACATCACCATATTGTGTTTACTTTGCCACTTACAAAAAGCTATCAAGGACAGTAATTTTAAGTTTATGAGGATATAATCTTCCTTGATATGTTTTTTCTAGAAAAATTGCACAAAAGAGCCTTGATTTTACTGTAAGCCAGAGAAATTATGACTATCAATTTGGAAAATGTTTATTCCTGGTCTTAGAAGAAGGCAAATGTTGGGTATTAACACAGAGAAATGTATTCGCCTTTAACTTACTACATTTCAATATAACAGACACCTAGGCTATAATGGAAAGACTAGGTTTAGAGTTACACAGACCTGAGTGTAAACACTAGTTTCAAAAATTAGTAGTTGAATGACCTTTGGGTCAGTTGCATATCTCTTTGAGGACAATCCTATCTGCTGAGCAGAAATACTGAGAGTGTGAGGAAGGACACAAAGAGCACCCAGCAGTCTCCGGCATTTAGCAGGTCCTCAGTTGACTGCTGCTATTACTATCTTTGTACAATAGACTATTCCATCATGAATACTGCTGACCAAGACCTACTTATTTAAACCATGCAATCATAGCAGGTGATGGAGACTAAGCTATTTTATTTTCTCTGGAGGCAAAACTGATTTCCTAATCTTTTCTATTTTCTTGTAATTATACTATTAGAAACCAGCATTTTCCATGACTTTTTCTAACTTCTGACCATATCTTCCAAACCTTATCTATTCTTCCAAACCCAGGTCAAGTTTTACCATCTTCACAAGCAAAGCCTTTTCTGGTAGCCTGGGGCCAAAAGTACTTTCTCCTTATCTGAATCCTTCTATAAACAGTATTGTATTCTGGGTTTTGGGTTTTTTCTCATCTTTTTCTCCCCTTGGACTTTTTGCTCCTTAATGGAGGGGACTGAAAAATGATTGTTTTTCATCCTCTAAAAAGCTTGTAAATAACATAAATAGAATGTAAGTGAAATTTCCATAAGGTATTTAAGAAGTACTTGGTATATAGGACCTGCAGACAAGTAATATTTGATAGTAAATATTTCATTTATTCATCTCTTTAATATTTATACCCTTTCTACTTCCAAAAATTATTTGAGTCAACTTTAAAAGGAAAAATGGACAGAGAAATAGAAAAGTATTAAATGCTAGAGCAATAATTAAAAGTGTCATGAAAACAGTAAAACCTTATTTGAATGTCTGACACATAAACTCTTATATTATGAAAGTTTATTCACTTTACCAGTTGTTTCCCAGTTAACTAGGATTCTAGGGTCTGTTACTTGAATCTTAACACAAAACACACATACACACATAAAACACTAATAGTTGAGTAGTCATATTTTGTATAACAAAGTTAATCAAGTGATAGAAGATAAAGGACTTTTATAAATCTTGTAAAAACTTTAAAAATATTTTATAAAACAACTTGCAAAAGTATGATACAGATATGTTAGTTGTAATTGCTGTTTGTTTCCTTGGTTTATATTAGGCGTGGTTAGATTTCTGCCGCATTACAAAACCTCATAATTTAAAAGTATATGGTTTTGGTGAATAAGTTCTCCCATTCTGTGGGCTCTTTTTCATTTTTTTTTAAAATGACTTTACTTATTCATTTTAGAGAGAGGGGAAGGGAGGGAGAAAGAAAGGGAGAGAAGCATTGATGTGAGAGAGAACCAACCATCAGTTGCCTCTCGTAAGCCCTCTGACTAGGGACCAAAGTCTTAACCCAGGCATGTGCCCTGACCTGGGACTGAACCTTTGGCTTTGCGGGATGCCCAACCAACTGAACCATACTGGTTAGGGCTGTCTTTTCATTTTGTTCATGGTTTTCTTTGCTGTTCAAAATGTTTTTAGTTTGAGGTAGTCCCATTTGTTTCTTTTTTCTTTTATTTCCTTTGCCCAAGGAGACATATCAGAAAAAATACTGCTACAAGAAATATCCGATATTTTCTTGTCTATGTTTTCTTCTAGGATTTTTATGGTTTCAAGTCAAACATTTAAGTCTTTAATCCATTTTGAGTTTATTCTTGTGTATGGTGTAAAAAGGTGGTCTAGTTTCACTTTATTTGCACATATCTATGCAATTGACCCAACACCATTTATTGAATAGATTATCTTTACCCCAGTGTATTTTTTGCCTCCTTTGTTAAGTATTAATTGACTATATCCAAAACATATAAGGAATGTATAAAACTCAATCCAAAAAAATTAAAAATGGAACTGCTTTATGACCCACAGCAATTGCACTTCTGGGAATATATTTGAAGAAACCCAAAACACTAATTCAAAAGAATATATACACCCCTATGTTCACTGCAGTGTTATTTACAATATCCAAGATTTGGAAGCAGCCCAAGTACCTATCAGGAGATGAGTGGATAAAAAAAGCTGTGGTACAATCACCCAATGGGATACTTACTCAGCCACACAAAAGAAGGAAATCTTACTTTTGTGACAGCATGGATGGACCTGGAGGGTATTATAACAACTGAAATAAACTAGTCAGAGAAAGACAAATACCATATAATTTCACTTATATGTGGAATCTAATGAAAAAATAACTAACAAAGTGGAGACAGACTCATGGATACAGAGAACAGACTGACAGCTGTCGGAGGGAAGGGGATTAAGGGCTGGGTGAGAAGGGAAAAGAGATTAAGGAAAGCAAAAAGAAAGACTCATAGACACAGACAAATAGTACGGTGACTGTCTAAGGAAAGGGGTTGTGAGGGGAGGTAGAAGAGGAAAAATGGAAGATAAATGGTGATGGAAGACTTGACTTGGGGTGATAAACATATGATACAATGTACAGATAATGTATTATAGAACTGTGCACGCAAAACCTATATGATTTTATTAACAGTGTCATCCCAATAGATTCTATTTTAAAAAGCATATAATCTTTGAGCAATGAGTTCCTATCAGTTATCATTTGCATTCTGTGCTGCTGTGAACTAATCAACAATATTGCCATTTGGTTTGTTGTGTCTTATGGCTGTCTAATGGAATAAGCTATTGTCCTAACTAAATACTTTAAAATAGTCAACCTTTATTTTACTTAGTCATCCTTGCAGCTAATGATTTTTTGCCAGCCTTTCACACATTAGATCTTACCTCTGCATTCAGGTTATCTGCAAGGCTTTCCAGAAACTGACTCTCAATTGGGTTTTGTTGAGTGAGCAAAGTGAGGTAATGGCTGAGTTTATCATGTGTTGTTATGATGATTCCTTCCCCAAATCTGTCAAATTGTGGTCTTCCAGCTCGACCAAATATCTGCATGACATCTAATATTCCAAGGTCAACAAAGGAGCCTCTTTTTGCATCATATATTTGTGTTCCCTAGATAAGGAAAAGTTAATAAAAATTAACATAAATACACACAAATATAATCCCGGTGAGCTGAATACTGAAATTAGGCAAATATGGCAAGATCTCAAAAGTGTACTTTAACTAATCCTTTCATCATCTGTGATAGAGTTAAATTTTCACAATATAAACTAGATTTTTTTTGAGAAAATAATTCTGTCCTTGTATAAATAACATTCAAAGTCAGTGAAGCAGCCGTATCACAATATTTTTCTAAATAAATTAATCCACAGGTTTGTTTTAAGATGTCACAAATCCATGTGCAAAGGAAGGTAAGCTCTTACCTTAATAATAACAGCATGTGCAGGAAGATTGACACCCCAGGCTAATGTGGCTGTACAGACTAGGACTTTGATATGCCCATTAGAAAACAAGTTTTCAACCAAATTTCTGTCCTGCCGAAGCATTCCTGCATGATGAATACTAAAACCATCTGGGAATAATTCTCGCACTTGCCTATTTCTTGACTTTTGCACCTAGAGAGATATAAACAAAACATAAAAAATTTTAGCATCTAAAAGGGATGTTATTTAGCCTTTCATTGAATGAGTTTATCAAAGAGCATAAAATTATTTTTAAGCATTTTAAAAAAAGGTTTTATTTATTATTTTTAGAGAGAGGAGAAGGGAGGGAGAAAAAAGATGAAGAGGAACATCGATCAGTTGCTTCTCACACACACCAACCAGGGACAGATGGGACTGCAACCCAAGCATGTGCCCTGACTGGGAATCGAACCAGTGACTTTTTGCTTAACAGGACAGTGCCCAATCAACTAAGCCACACCAATCAGGGCATTTTTAAGCATCTTAAGGTCTTACTAAGTATTAGTATACAATGGTTTATACAAAGTTATTAAAAATTATATTTTATTTGTTTAAAAAATATGTAATCCCAACCATGGTACAGAATCCAAAAGAAGGAAGTCAAAAGCAAGTGTTTTTCTCATGCAGATGTCCTGTTCTTACAATCAATTTTCTACCCTTCCAAACACATTCTATTAAGATAAGCATAAATCTCAGTGGCTTCCACCTCATTCCAAGTAAAGACCACAGTCCTTACAATGCAAGGCCCTACAGAAATCATATCTATCCACTAACCTCACTTAGCTAGTCACAAGGGCCAACTTTTTCTCTATGTCCCCTTTCTGACAAATCGACACTCACCTTAGCATGACACTCTAATCCACACCCACACTGTCTTGGGAGCCTTTTTTCCTCTTACTGAAATGCTCCACGGTTCTGCATGGCATAAACTCTTCATCACAGCAATGAGCCAATAAACCTACTGTGTTCACCGACCCTTATGTTCCTGGAGATCTCTGATGGGAGGGCACTGACATCTGCCTTAGCTCAACACAGCTGCCCTGAATGCACTACCTTCACTTCTGGTGTCTGCTCTTTGACCTGGTCCGAGGTCAGTTGTGGGATATGGTCCACTTATCCACAGTCTGTGTAAATGCTAAAGTGGATTTTACAAAATTCAATGAAGACTCACTACATGATGGGAGAAAATTTTTCTGCAAAATTATAGACTTTAGATTAACGTAAGTGTTTATACAGTCAAAGCTTCTGTGTGGGCATCGCATGTAGTGTGTTTGAGCTACTGCTCAGATATTTTCATCACAAACATTTCAATAGCTTCTTTTGAAACAGTTTTTCACAGTTCTTATGTAAGGAACACTACAGTGGCACAGGGCGGGATTTCAGGAGTCTGAGGTTCTAGTGCAGACTTTGCTTATTGCACATTGCTTAGGCACATTGCTTATTGCTAAGGTCACTTAAAATTTTAAATTTCTATGTTAATAATAATTAACTAAGGAAATAATACAAGAAAATAGCACTCCCTGAAGTCTGCTTCAAATATAAATTGGATGGTAATACATTAACAAATCCCACCATCTAGTGGTCAGCCAGGTAAATAACAACATCCATTTTGAGACGGAGACTCAAACAAATACATGTATACAAAAAGGCTATCTTCTTCAAGGGCAGTATATTCTCACTTGATGTTTGTGCAGAGTGGTTGGCCTCTCAGAAATCATATCATACATATACTTCATGATTAACTATATTTGGATCATATTGCCACCACTTTCCTCTTTTCAAACATGAGTTAGTCATTGTCAATCCCATGAATATGGGATGACCTGGGATAAAGCCTGCTGTGGAGTATTTGCTAGAATATAACAGAGCTCTTTCGTGGCCAAGGTCAAGCAAAAAGAAGAATTTTGTATGTTATATTAAGTTTAAAAATCAATAGAAGAAACGGGGAATACTCCAAAAAAGATAATGGTTCCATTACTTTATGAAATAAGTTTTGGGCAGATAGATTAAAGATCTAACAATATAAATTAAATTAAATTAAATTTTAAAAAAGGCTGGAGAACATCAGGGATGAAGTAAGGTGGCCACTATAAGCAAGACAAAGCCCAAAGACTGTAAGTTGATAAAAACTCCAGCATAGTAAAAATATATATAAACAAATAATCAAAACATTAACAAGAAAAAATATCTGTAACACATACGACAGTGCATGCAATTTAAAACACAATGGGCCAAGGATATGAACACATAATTTATGGAAAAACAAATTCAAATGGCCAATATGCAAAGTGCTCAGTTTCACTCCTAAAGAAATATCAGTTAAAATAATAATAAAGTACCATTTTTTCTGCTTATTAATCTGTCATAAACTTAAAAACTCTTACATCGCCCAGTGCTGACAGTTATGTGAGCAAAGTGATTTCCTCAAAGTTATGATTTGAAAAAGTGTAAATTGGAACAATCTCCCTAATGGGCAATAAGGAATATTTACCAAAATTTTAAATGCATGTACCATGTTGATGAATAAACTCCACTGCCAGAAATTTTCCCAAAGGACATCTCACAACTGCCAAGAGTATGAGCAAGAATTTTTTACTATAGCACTTTTAACAATAAAAAATAACTGAAAACAACAAAGTATCCATCAACATAGGACTGGGTAAGTGAATTATGATAATGTCCATATTGTAGCATTCTATATAGTTGGTAAGGAAGTTGTTTCCAGGATCAGGTCTTTCTGTGTTTATTTGGAAATATGTCCTTGACATACATATAAAATGAAGAGAGCAAGACACATAAAAGTGTGTCTAACATTATCCAATCTGTTCACACTAAAACTTACACACACGTATATACAAAACCTTCCCTTGAAAGAAATATAAACATAAGAAGCTTTTTAACAGGAGTCTTGCTTGGAGAAGTGAATGGAGAAGAAGTGGTTAAGATCATGACTTATGCGGCTAAATTTATTACAAGATACCTGCTGCTTTCTGAAGTATCCAGATTATCAGTTTTCTACCTTGTTTCCCAGGGCAAGCCTTCCCTGGAATCCAGGCTCTGCTATCCTCTGCCTAGCTGCAGAGATAACAGTTTATCTTGTTCACATTCTCTGAACAGAGCATTGGGTTCTTTAAGGAGGCCAGTAAAGATCCAATACTATACTCACTGGATAAATGTTTCTAGACATGGGAATTCAGCCCCAAAAGAACACCAGCTGTGACAAGTAAAGGGAGTCAGGTCTGTGTAGTTTAAGCATTGTCTAAGCTTGGTTTCCTCTGGCTTTGCGCTTCCAGTTTTCACAGGTGAACTTCCCAAACAAGGCTTTGGCAGTCAGTCAGATTGGAATGGAATGGACAACTGCTCAAATAGTCCGTCAGCACACAGAGGGCACTACGTTCTTTTCTCCCCATGAAAGCATGCAGGGCTTCCTTCCAGATCTTTTTCCTACTCATGAAATGGAAAATCAATGAGTAAGATTAAAACAGAACCACTTCCAAAAGCTGACTTCCAAACTAACACAAATTTATGATTAAAAAACTGGATTAAAAAGACTGGCAGCAAGCAACTGGGGATATCAAAGGAGAACAAATTTGTTTTATTCAACATAAGACCAAAACACATGCAAGACCTTCAGCTCAGACACAAACCGTGAATAAAAGAGTATGACGAAATTGCATAAATGATGTACAGTGACTTTTGTAAGCCTTCTGACGTAATATGTCTTGATAAGGTACGCTTCACTGTGGGTAATTTCAAATCCATGAGGAAAAACTGACTGCCATTATAAAAACTAAAATTTAATTGGGAGGAGGCAAATATTTTCTCCCAAATGACACCATTCTTTCTCACAATTATTAGCATGCTTTATCAGTATTAGAAAAAGTATTATAGAGCTCTCATCTTTGTTATGTTTTTATCATGTAATGATTATAAAGCTAATCAGAGTATGACAGACCTGCTTACATGCTAGGAACATAAACCAGTACCTTAGAGTTTAGAGATCTAAGGAATATAATATGCCATCTTTCCTACCACTTCTGTTCTCTCTGTTTTAAAGGTTTATTCCACTTTAAACTGTGTTCACACAGACATCTAAGATTGGTCCTCTGGCGTTTTTGCCAAGAGAACCATAACTGGCAATGCTCTGTCCCTGATGAGGCAGGCAGGAAACCTGTCCCTCCCCGTATCAGCATAAAGTCCATTAGTTATCTGTTAACTAGATCAATTAAACCTTGCTATGAGCAGAATTTCTGAGGATCATGTTAAAAATTTTAGAGCCTTTGTGTCAGAGATTCTGATTTTGATATCTGACATGGAAACAGGCAGTGGGAACTGATGATGTACTGTACTACTGGCTCCCTAACAACTGGTATTTTTTTGTTCTTGACTCAATTCCTTATCCTCTGTACTGTTTTTTCCACTCTAGATATGAAATTCTCCACTCCACTCTCTGGAACCACCACTCAGGGGCCAGCAAACTATATCCATCTATTTTCCCACCTTGCCTTAACTGAAACTTGTCTCTCCTCCGTGGACTCCACTTCCCATGCATTCCTCTCAAGTGACGGGAGATGAGGTCTCTCTTCCCCGTCACCATTTCCCAACCAGTGTGTACTAACCTTTTATAAAAACCTCTGTTCTTTTAAGGTTCAGTATATTTGGCTCTGTCACCCAAGCTTATCGGGTGAAGACTTGATACCCATGGCTCCTTGTCTTCTGTCCATCCCAATTCCTGCCATCATCCTAGGTGACAGTATTTTCTATGTGGACACCAAGCTCCTCAACCTCCAATTCCCATGGCCTCTGTCCCAACTCAGCTGACCAATGATTATATCCTAGACTTGTCATCAATCACAACTGTACCACTTTTAAAATCACTAGTAAAAGCATCTCCACTTCTGATTGAAGGTTTCCTATAATTCAAACTTGCCCAACTAATTTTTATAAGCTCATTTTTAAATAACACTTCCAATCACAATTTCTCTACTTTCATTCTATTTATTAGTACCTCCCCTCCCACTCCCAATCCACACTCCAGTCCTTATTCTAGTTCTTTACCCAGTTTAGATAATAGAGCCTTTCTGCTATTAACAGACTGGCAAAAGTGGTTAAGAAAAATTACATACAAGGGAGACTTGAGAACATTTTAAATC